ATGAAATAATTTGCTAATCCTGAGTTTTTTTGTCATGTATTTCAGAAAAAATTCCTGGTCACTCCATTTTTGGTTGGAGGCAGTTTTGTTTATATTTACATATGGAGATGGATATGGGAAAACCTACGCTTTATTCTTGTTGAGTACAGGCAATATGTCCTGTCATATTTTGGGATCACTGGGCTCATTAGCTTTGTGATCTGTTATCGATATGGTCCTATCACTGACAAGCGCAGCAAAAATTTGATCAAGTGGTCACTACAGGTAAATCATCCACCGTCAATAACTTTTTAGTTCAAGGCTTATTTGTGTATTTAGCCTGAAATTTTGATGCATGTTTTGTGTTTAGTGTGCACTAGAAGTTTTTATTTTATTTTTACGACAGATTATGTCCGTGGTTATGGTGCTTTTGAGCAGTCAATTTCAAGAAGCCACCATTGCAATAGTTCTACTTCTGTTTGCACTGTACAAATTTCCCCGATCGTTGGTATCCAAGGCCAGATCTCAATGGTAAGGGTTGGGATTTTTAAGGAGGGCCTGAGATAAATTTCTGTGATTACAGATCCCCTGACCATGACGCTAATGCTGAAGGGAAAACTGAAACACAATCCTTTAAAAAAAAATAGAAAAGAAATCTAAGGCATTGTCATCAATCTTCATACATTCCACACACTCATGTACATTGAACACACTTTTTGTTAAATCATTACTACTCTAATAGTTTTATTATTTTCTTGATTATTATGTGCCATATCTAGGTGAATTAACGTAGTTGATTCAAATGACTAAAAGTCATTTATTTGTGTATACTTTTGTGACGATTTAGTTTTAATATCAAATGAATAAGTAAATGAATCCTTCAATGAAAGGGATGGCAAATAATTGGTAGTTTCAGTGCTCTATGTTGTGTCTAGCTTTATACTTTTCAATTGCATGCTTATTAGGAATATTGTGGTAAGTTGTTGTTAGCAGTTTGTCGCCCATTTGTGAGAGGGTCATTTTCATTTAGTGTTAATGAATCAAATTGAAATGTGCCTTTTTTTGTCCATCTCTTACAATACATTACTTTTTTGTTTAGGATTCGTCGTTTCCCTCCCAAACCAAAACTTTTATCAGAAGATCAATACTATGAACAAGGAGTTCGTGAAACACAAAAAGCCTTGGATGAGCTCCGTGGCTATTGCTCAAGTCCTGATTGCAACCAATGGAAAACCGTTCTACGTATAAAGGACCCTGTCAGGTAAATGAAGCATAAAAATGTATTTTGTTTCTTTTAGGTTGATTTGTTCAGTTCAGAGTATGCTAACAAGTAACCATTCTTCCAGGTTTGCAAAATTTGTGGAAGGCAAGTCACATTTAGATGACAATGAAGTGCTGGATTATGAAATTGCAACTCCCAGGGAACTTGAATTCTCTGATGAATCTGAATCTGACTCTGATTCTGTTATGACTGATTAGTTAGTTATTGTTCTGTGAGACTGTTCCTGGTTGGGTTTTTGTAATACTTTTTTTTGATGGGTTATTAATTAAGACTGCCACCTTACATAACACCCCTTTTTTTAGTACAAATTTGGTCTAAAATAAAAAAGATCAAACATCATCATTTGAGAAAAATTGTTCTCATCATCTTTGTTGTGTTTGTTTTTGTACCATGGTTATTCTGTGATTTATGTAGGCTATTAAATACTGTCTATCCGCATCATTTTGTCTCACCCTTTTTAAAGTACTGAACTTCCTTATTTATTTTAAATGTGACATGATTTTTATTAATTTTTTGTAGTAAACACTTGTATAAATCCCCTATTTATCAGTTTTTTGTGGTTCCTGCTAACATGTAAGATGAATGTACTGACATGGTTTCTAAAGCTTTGTGGTAAAATGTTTTAACTCTTCACAAACAAATTTCATGAATTTAATTGTATTACTTTGTTTGTCTTATTGTTGGGTGATTGTTAATATTGTCTGATCCTGATCTCTCTTGCTAGTCAATTAATCTGACTGTTGAGTGGATAGTTTGGATTTTTTATTAATGTATTTTTTTGAAAATATTGTGTCAGTTACTCTGCTCCCTACCACTGCTGTATTTGGTCATGAGGGCATCCCTTCCTCGTGATTGTTCCATGTTTGTCATGATGTACATCATTCATTTGTAATAAAATAACATCAAACCTTGACTAACACTTGGCTCTTTTATTGTCCAGATTGTTTAAAATTGTCCTTGTACAGTGGATCAGAAGTAGCCGTACACCATGCCAACACAAAAGTACCGAAAGTGGTCAAAGACAAAGTTGCCTCCAATGCTAAGTCTTCTGGATTTACATTTCCTTTAGTGGGAATCAAATCGAAGACTTGGGCAAGTTGGTCTTTTATAATCTTTAGTACACAAGGTGTCATCATATCATGGCAGTCTACCGAATGAGCACAGCCCCCAAAAAATAAAAAAACGTAAAACACCAATAAATAAACAGGGATTTTAAGGTCCAAATTGTTTACCATAAATGTTAAAAACTTTTCCTGAAAAGTTTGAAAAATTTGAAATGTTTCCAGAAAAAAAAAGGAACTTCTCATTCTCATATAAAGTTTCCAAAATTACACAATCTTTAGCAATTTCCCAAAAATATTTTTCCGGGAAATTGAAGTACCAAACCAGGCGATTCCGAACTACTTGCCGTAGCCCTGGGAGAAGCCAGGCTTGTCGAACTCGGGCTGCTTCTCCTGCTGCTGCTTGCGCAGCACCTCGTTGCGCTCCTCCTGCACGAGGCTCTGCACGGGCTGCGCCAGCACGCGGCGCACCCAGCGCGCGTCCACGCTGGAGAAGGCCGTCGGGGACATGGGGCCCTCGGGCAGCGACACCATGGACGGGTGGCAGCCCACGTCCCAGCTGTACACGCCCGCGAGCACGAGGCGGCCGTCGGGGCGCGGGCAGGCCAGCGGGCCGCCGGGGTCCACCATGCACAGGTTGGTGCCGGGCTGCGTGGCCAGCGCGCACACCTGCGAGCCGTGCATCTGGAAGTTGGGCCCCAGGAAGGTGCGGCGCAGCTGGCGCTCCGCCTCCGGGGCCGACATGAGCCGGGCGGGGATGGCGTTGAGGCTCGAGCCGACGTGGTTGCCTGCGCGAGAACGAGGATGCAAACACGTCAGTTTCACGGTAAAACGTGGCCCGCCGTTGCTTCAGGCGGCCCCACAGTGGACGTTTCGTGAGGGGAAGATGGGGCGTGGAAACGTTCCCTTTCCAGCCACAGCTCCACGGTGGGCCACCATTCCTACTCAGCGGCTTGGCGGGTTGGCCTACGCAGCTCGCAGCAGGCGCTATCAGCCTCGCCTCGCGAAACGTTCACTGTGGTGACACCCCAATCCCGCCTAAAACCCACGCCCCTTAAAAGATATCGCAAACTTCAACCCTAGGATCGCATCACTTGTGTCGAGGATGCAACCCGAGTCGACCCTAAGGGATCGTCCAGAAAGTGCGTCCGTTTCTCTCCTCAGATTCATTCGACAACTGTTACGAGAGCTCGGCGCCTGCGAGACTGGGTGTAGGCCAACCCGCAGTACATGCATGCCCCCCAGGCAGGATGATGCCTACCTACTAGGCGTTCTGAGAGCATGAAGAGGCTGAACTTGGAAAGTTCGAATCAGCCAACGACGGACGCACTTTCTGGATGATCCCAATTTGGCCATGAGAAAAGCTGCTCCCTCGAATACACTCATGGAGTCTCGTGGAGGATGTCGTTTACCTTTGAGCGCCTTGAGTCCCCAGCCGGTGGCGACGCAGTTGTCCGCCGGGGTGGGGGCGGCCAGGTTGGCGCCGCCCGCCCGGTCCTCGTCGGGCAGGCACACGGTGCCGACGCGGTCGCCGAGGGTGAGGGGCTCGGCGAGGCGCAGCACGGCCTGGTCGTGGTGCAGCGAGGCCGCGTTGAAGTCGGGGTGGCGCGCGACGGCGGCCACGCCGGACTGCTGCGCGCCGGGCTCGGCCACGCCCATGCGGTGCTCGCCGGCGATCACCACCAGGTCGCTGGCCTCCTTGTCGTGCACGCAGTGCGCGGCGGTCAGCACCGCGTCCCTGGCGAGCACGGCGGCGCCGCAGATGGGGACGTTGTCGGCGCGGTTGGCGACGATGGCCTGCCACGGGTACTCGCCGGGCGCGGCCTCGCCCGCGGCCAGACCCTGCGGCCTTGGCACCTGGCGGCGCTCTCCGCACGCCTCCTCGTCCTGCGGCCCGTACGAGGGCTTGGTAGGCTCCGGCTGCTGAGGCTGTTGCGGCTGCTGCGGCTGCTGCGGGGTGCGCTCAACGGCCTGCTGCGGCTGGGGCGCGGGCGCGTCGGGGTACGGGGGTAGCGAGACCGGCCCGTTGAAGGGTGTCTCGGAGACGGGGGATGCCGTGGCAGCGGGCTCGGGTTCGCCCGACTGCTGTGGGGGTTGCTGGGGCGGTGCGGGACTCGGGGCGGGCAGCACAGTGGGCTGCGGGTTGTAGGACGGTTGAGAGGCGGGTTGTGGGGCGTAGGCTGGTCGCGGAGGCGGTTGAGGGGCGTAAGTCGGCTGAGGCTGAGGTGCAGGCTGAGGCTGTGGCTGTGGGGCGAACGTCGGCTGAGGTCTTGGCTGAGGAGCGTACGTCGGCTGAGGCTGAGGTGCAGGCTGAGGCCGTGGCTGAGGGGCGTACGTCGGCTGAGGT